AACAAAATCTTTAAATTGCTTTGTAAATTTTTCATTTCTAAATATGATTTATTTGTAAATTATAAAAATTACGAAAATTATGAATGAGCATGAATGAGTTTTTGCGTGTGTTTTTTATATTTTTAAATTTATATTACATTTTTATTTCCAATTCCAAATAATTATTTTGCCATTACCCAGACTAGCAGCAATTTTTGATTTATCTGAATTCCAATCCAAGCCAATGATAGCAAATGGAGCAGAATAGGATTTTTTAAGAGTGATAATATCGTCCTTTATTGAAAGGAACCTTACAACCGAATCAGTCGAACCATACGCTATCCATTCACCATCTGGACGCCAGGAAATATATTTGATCGGTTTAGATAATTGATTAGCAGTATGTAGACATTCTCCACTATCTGCATTCCAAATAGATATTTGTTTATCTTTTGTTGATGTTGCAAGAAGTTTTATATTGGAGATGGAAGGTGACCAACATAGTATATCAACCTCTCTTTGGTGTTTAAGTACTCTGTGTAGTTTTTTTTCATCATCAGCCCATATCTTTTTTTATAAATATTTTAGTAAATAAATATATAACGGAATGTAGGATTTTTCTAAAAAAATTTTTAATAATAAATATATATACTATATATAATGCGTACCTTGACTGTTGTATCAGCAGAACCCGATGCGAGATAATTTTTTGAAGGATCCCATGCTAAACAAAAAATTTTATCGTCATGAGGATATTGTGTAATTGGATTTTTTTTTGTAGTGTCATAGATAAAGATCGATTTATCGTAGGAACAAGATGCAAAAATTGTATCATTTTTCCAATCTAAATCTGTCACCACTTCTAAAAAATACAAATTAATTATAAATGTAATTAATTAGTCAACCAATCAATTGATATTATCATCTTCCCCAAAAAACTTTACCAACCATTATGATGAAGATAACTTTGCTTTGCAGTTGTAGAATTTACTTCCCATAAAATAATCATTTTATCATAACCAGCAGTAAGAATTAAAGACCCTGATGGATTCCATTTTACTTTGGTAACAGGTTTTTTGTTGTGAGAATC